ACACACACACACACACACACACACACACACACACACACATGTCGTCCTGTCACTGATTGTTATTCAAATGTGATTTTTATGTTCTGCTCTGTTTTTGTTATTTTTGCGCGCATCTTTGGCATCCTTTTACCCTTTCTCGTCTCGTGTCTCTTTTTGTTTAATTTACATTTTTCATGCCAAAATAATTATGTATATTGTTACAAAATGGCATACACACGCCAACATACACTCTCAGTATGTGAATGAGCTCAGGCTGGCTGGCAAATAAGACACAGCCGAGACATTTATAGGGCATGGAGGAGGCTTCATTGTTTTCTGCCTTTTGATTTGATAAATGAAGCAGCAATTTGTATAAATTGAGCTTAGATTGCAACTGAATGATGAATCATACTTCTATTTAAGAAGCTGTATATTAATGATCGTCGTTGAGTTGTGCCTCATGTTTTTCCCTAAAATTATTGACTTTTTTAAATCAGTGTTAGCAGGTATACATGAAATTAAGTGGACCCTTAGAGGACTTAAGTAAGTTGTATACATAAATATAGTATATTTATAAGTATTTAAATATATTACTTTACATGTACATAATATGGAATAATATATTTCATTTATTTCTTACAATTTTAGAATTGTTTAAAGCATTTTCTAATTACTCATTGAATATTCATTACTTTTTTGAATTATTTCAACATTTTTGTAGCTATCCCGTAGTATTATACTTGTATTTTGCTTCTTTAACCTACTTTTATATGAACAAAAATTTATTTAATAATGTTGCTGACTAAAATATCAATCAAGTTAATCAATAATTTATAGTTATTGAATACCACATCTATGTGTAAACAATTAAAACTCCAAGCAGACATTCTAAAGATCATGTCAGCGTATAAGGCTGTTTACTTTTCAAAACAAAAATGCAACTAAATGCAGCTCGTCTTTAAGTTGTTGCAGCAATAGTTCTAATTTCTATTCGAGGCGAATAATTGAATGCACAGGGCAGAACTGAAAATGATATTTCAACCAGTGATTTTTAATGTACCGCGGGAGATAGAAATAGAAAAGCGGCAGATACTAAGAAAAAACAAATATAAGCTTAACGAATTTGTCTCTCCATAAAATAAAATACTACTTATAATGATGAACTTTTATATTTATTTTAGTTTGAAAACTTATGTTGATGAAATTCAAGCCCAAAAATTGCTAATTACTTATACTTTCATTATGCTTTTTTTCGGCATCGAACATAGCTATTTACGAGTATTTCCATTTTGGATAATATGACTTTATTACATTATCTTTATTATTTATATTCATTATCATTGCATAGATATGCACGAAAAGAATTCATTTATTTTCTTAATTCTAATTGATGCTAAAGATTTTCAAATTCTCATTCGTTTAAAAATCGTTCAAGTACAAGAAGAAGCTGAGAGCATTTTGCAGCAATCGTTTATTGCTCCATTTGCGCCAGCAAATATTGCCAAAAATATATAAATGCGTGTCTCCAAGACCGGCTTTCATTTCGCTAACGCTCACGAAAAAGAAAGAAATCGTTGGACATAAAACCAAAAATTGATGACGCATCATGATGAGGAGGCGCTCGCAAATACAGTATGCGAGTATAAGACAAAAATTTCACAATTTTGCACTAAAAAAAAGGAAGAAGTCATTTAAAGTGCTCGTTGTTGTCCCGCTGCTCGTGAAATTTGCGTCGATTAAACCTTTCTTTTATGCACGCGGTTGGTTTGTTTGGTCAGGGTAGGGGTAGGGGTAGGGTTAGGGGTCGGTTGGGATCTGTCGCTCGTCCGTTGGCTGAAGGCGGCAAAGTGGGCGAGTTTGTATGTTCGAGGGCCTTTGTCGAGGGCCCGACATGGTTCAATGTTGTTGTTGTTGTTGTGAGCATCGTTGTTGGCGTCGACGGCTGTCATCAAAAAATATTGTATTGTTATTATTTTATTTTTATGTGCCGCGCTGACGCTGACGCTGAAGCTGATGCTGATGCTGACTACGAGCCTCGAAACGCGACCCTCTCTCCGTGTCGCTTATTTGCATAAGGATGCCCTCAACATGCTCTGCTCTGCTCTACTTTTCTTTAACTGTACTTTGGCTCTGGTAAGGACCAGCTTTTTTGGGTTGGGGGCAAACAAAAGCGTTTTGTGTTTTGCGTTTCGCTTGCTTATTTCGCATTGTAAATTTTTATGTGCGTGTGTGCGTGCGAGTGTGTGAGTGTGAGTGTGTGTGTGTGTGTGAGTGAGTCTGCACTGACACTGCCCGCTGCCCGCCTACAATTTCCATTTGCCGTCTTCTCAAAAGAGCGCCAGCAATCACACACATTGTAATTGAACACACACGCTCGAACGCATTTTGTTTAGATTTCATTTTTTCGCTGTTTTTTTTCCTGTATTTTTATTTTGTTGGCAGCGACGTCGTCGTCGTCATGTTTTTAGCGTCTTTAGCTGCTTGGTACTTCTTCTTCTTCTTCTGCTTCTTCTTCAGCGTCGAGTCGACATAAAATGCAAAACAGAATTTCATTTTCGGCAGGAATGCTAACACACACACACTCACACACACACACACATGTGCTTGTTGGTTGTTGCTTTTATTGGGAATGCTACAACATTGTTGAAGCATGTAATATCCTGCCATGGATAAGGGTTGCCGCACACACACACACACACACAAATATATTCACATATATCGGGGCGTCATATATGCTATTGTTGTTGTTGTTGTTGCTCGAGTTGTTGTTTTTGTTCGTTGTTTGACGATTTCTGCTTCGGTCTCTTTTCCCTTTTTCCCTTTATTCCTTTGCTTTGGCTGCCTTCTTCAACATTTTTTCATACGAATTTAGTTTATTGGTTTTGTGTGTGTCGTCGTCCTCCTCGTCCTCGTCAGTGGGAGGAGCTGCTGCTACATGTGTGTGTGTGAGTGTGTGTCCCGTTTTAGGGTGATTGATTGGCATTACAAGCTTGTATGAATATATGTATCTGCACACACATGCACATATAGTAAATATATGCATGTATGCCATTTACATACACATTTCATTTATGCAAATACTCGCAATTCATATTCCAAATACTTGCCGAATTACAATAAATATTTTACAACAACACACAACCATACTCACATACATTGTTGTCTGTGCGCGTGTGTTTGACAAGCTTACATTATAATACAACATTCGCATTCGCATTCTCATTCGCATTCGTTAAGCATTTTCGCAGCTAATTTCCCTTTAAGATTTGCACCAGTTAGATAGGCATAGGAGTTTTGGCCTATCGCACCGTCGATCTGTCAGCCCATAGCATAGCTCGGCCCATCCCAGAGCCGGGAAACGGCACGGTTGCCTGTTTTTGCTTAATTTCCTGTTAAGCCATTTTCGATATAGATTTTGTGAAATGTAATAAAGAGGCAAAGGCAACAAAATGGCAGCGACATGCATATTAAAAGGCGTGGCAGCAGGTAAACGACTGTCATTCCCTCAGTCGCTCAATTCGTCAGCCAGTCCCTCACTCCCGTCGTCGTTGAGACATGAGCCTAAATACTCGTAGTTACGGCCTGTTATGCATGACGAGTTACGAGCCTACGATAAATAGGCGGCAACAAACAGTAGTGGCAGCAGCACAAAGAGAACCAGAAGTACTTCACAGTGGGACAAAGGCGACAAATGGCTGGCCAATTACCATGAAAGTCAAATTTAATTGCTCTTGGAAAGTCATTAGTGATTGATGTACAAAATTATTGTCTCTGCTGTCAAGTATCTATCAAATGAAGTAATCAAAAAAATGAAATATCATACAAGTATGTATCTCTCTGATACATAAATAATACCAAATAAAAAGCGTTTTAAAAATTACACACACTTCTCAAAATTACAATTCAAAACAGTTAACAGTTAGATATAATTTCCTAACATGATGATGTCAATTAAAAAGAAAATCATTTTCAAAAACTTCTCTAAAATTTAGAAGTTGTTCTTATTTGAAAAAGTTTTCCTAAAAATTAAATTGCAAGAAAAATATTTGTTTAAAATATTATTATACAAGATTTCTTAATGAATTGAAGTGTTAATTCTAAATTATGTGTTTTTGTTCTAAAATCTCAAAACTGAAAACTCAATTCCTCGTGCAACTCCAAAGAAAGAAATGAAGACTTCCAACGGTCTACGCAGAGGCAAAAGATGAAGCTAGTTCTTAATCCGATCTCCAACGCACTCCAACACTAAAAACCAATTTGAGTCTAAATGGTGCTAAATTCTAGTAAAAATAATTAATATTGAAATGCTATATTAAAGCTATGAAATGAAAAACGATTACTGTTTTAAAGAACTCATTTCTTCATTCTCTTATTTTATTATGATTTCTAGGTTTTGAACACTCAAAAATCCGTCCCATTTCTTGGAGTATGTAGATCTTGTAGCTCTTAGTATCCTTAACCTTACATTTGAACAGGTCAGAGCTCAGCGTAAATACACATCTACCCATGTATGCTTGAAAGTAAAATCGGAAATAAAAAGCACTCTTAATACCCCAAAGCTTTTATTGGCCTTCAAATACAATTACAGATATAAATAAAAGCGAATTGGACTTAGTAACGCATAAGGCATTGTTGTTAGCCCCGTTTAGAAGATATGAGTAATATTTCATGCTTCATATCAGCTTCAAAACCTATTAAATGAAACGGCAAAAAGTGACGCATATTTGATAGCACATTGCTACGTAGAAAAGTCCCTAGCCTATTAGCAGAAAAGTTCTATAAATCAATTCAAATAAAAGTCCACTTGGTATCGGGATTCTATTGTCAATGCGACGACCCACAGAGTATATCGTTAGAGTGTGCTTTTCAAAGGAATTTTCATACGTAATTTAGCACATGCACAATTATAGTTGATTAGATAAGGCTTTTTATCAAAATGAAGTGTCAGAGAGCTTAGTGTGTAAAAATTAAATAAGCTTCAGAAACAATTGTTGGAGCAGTTACGTTTCGAACGCCAACGAAGTCGGATCTACCTCCAAACAATTATGGATGAATCCGGGAAGACTTACCCACCACAGGCCCTCCCTGTCCAGTTCCAAACTGCACAGAACTATCCAGCACAGAGCTATCCAGCACAGAACTATCCAGCACCGAGCTACCCAGCACAGAACTATCCAGCACAGAGCTATCCAGCACAGAACTATCCAGCACCGAGCTACCCAGCACAGAACTATCCAGCACAGAACTATCCAGCACAGAACTACCCAGCACAGAACTATCCAGCACAGAACTACCCAGCACAGAACTATCCAGCGCAGCACTATCCGTCAGCTCCGCCGCAGCACCTCAATGTGTTAAATATTCCACCCGATCAAGGTTGCATGGCCAATCGAAGGAACCAACCCCAGTCCCAGGCCGTGGGAGCAGGTTCGTACAGTCAAGCATAACTGAAGAGTAGGATGTTAAATTCGTGCCGGCTCCACTTTTTTATACCCAATACCAGTCCCTCAACTTTATACAATAATTTGGCTATATGTGATTTTTGTTAACGTTTTTCAACTTTGTACGCCAAGTGCGATTCCAAACGATGTTGGCTTTATTGATTTAGATTGTCATGTGGATTATAGACGTACATATTTTGGCGTTTGCCAAGGCTCCTTCTACGAGTATATTCTATATGTTCTATATTCATTGCGGTTTAGTGTACCCATTAGGTATAGTGTATACAAAAAAAGTACCCCATAATCTGAGGTGCACATGTTATGAGCAACCGATTAGATAAGAGTGAACATTTTGATAGATGGTAACAAAGCTGTTAGCAAATGTCAATCTAATAACTTTGATATTACTTATTCAAAATAATGATGTATATAATTTTTATAGCTGGACTCATATTCATTTCTGGTGGCATGAACATTGCTTTCAGCGTGGGCATTCGATATATGGTGGGATTGTCAGTTCACGTCCGGATCTGTTGGTTCATTGGCGCCATTATCGGTGCCATAATCAGTGGATTTTTGGCCAATAGAGTGTCCAAGAAATACATTTTAGTAAGTATAAGTCTTTATCTTAGTTAGGCTTAAAAAAATGAAACATTTTATGCATTAGAGGGGTTTATAAAATAGAAACTGTAGGATTTTTAGGCAGTTCAAAGGCACACAGCAATAATACTTGTATTTCATTGCAAATTAACACTCTTGGTAGTAATATGTAGAGCTCTAATTAAGTAATCGTAGAAGTAGGTTAAGTTATAATAGAACGCATCACCGCAGTTGTTGTCGATTCTGATTAAATTTATTTAATCTGCCAAAGCAGTAGATTGTCAATCGATACATTCTTGTCCTCGACTCGTAAGAGTCTTATCAGACATTAAACTGTTTTTTTTTATGGCAATAGCGATGATGATATTGTTCCCGGAAAAAGTTGAAAGCGACGCGTTTTTTAATAGTTACTGAAATATAATACAATAGATATATATAATATATCGAAAAGTGTAGATAAATATTTATAGAGAACTTATAGTTGTTGTTAACCCTCCACAATTATTGGTTTACATTTACGAAAATACTTATAATAATAACTTTTAAAGGAATGACGATCCCGCATTACAATTTGTTCGAATGTTTCTTCTTTAGTTTAAATCAGAGCGCTATTATGGAAGCTGGTCATCTTTTCAAACTTTCCGTTTTATAGTACATAGATTCTTTTCATCATGAAAAGTAGATATGGAATTCAGGGGCAATTCTGAGAGGTATAATCGCTTGGGGAACCACATCGAATATGTCCACATGTTATCACATTTGTTTGAAGTGCAGAAAACAGGTGACCAGCATTATAGTTGAAATTCTAAATTATTTTGACTTAAAGCACTTGAGAAATATAAGAAAGGAAGATATATGTATGGCAACCAATTAAGATATTCCACACTATCTATCGCGAACTAATCTCTGCCCTCTGCTTGCAGCAATTCTCCTCAATATTGGTAACCATTGGAGGCATAGTCCTTGCCTGCACTTATCACAAGGTACCCGCCATTACGGCAGCACTTTATTTGGATGGTATTGCCAATGGACTGATCTTTGCGCCAACACTTGCACTGATTGGCGAAATATCGGTTTGTCAAAAGCGTGGCGGATTGGCCATCGGCATTGAACAGTTGTGCTATGGTGCGGGAATTGTTCTTCAAACCATTTTTGGAACCATCTGGTGGTGGTATAGGGACACAGGTTTCTCATCTCTGCAATCACATGGCATTTTAAGCGCAGTGTTTGGTGGGATCGCCTTAATCTTCGCCTCAATATTTACCATCGAGTCACCGGTTATAATGCTGGCAAATGGCGAGGAGCAGGCGGCTATCCATGCCTTGCGTCGTCTACAGCGCCCCTCCATCCTAACGACGGACACATACCAGCAGCTGGACGAGCACAAGCGCTACCTGGCGCTGAACAAGGATCTGACGGTCGGTGAAAGTATATCTGAGGCCATACCCGCCTTCGTTCGTCTCGTCACCCTACGCGCTCTGAATGCCATGAGTCTTACGAAATTTGTCGTAGATGCCATGTTGATGGTTACTATTTTGAGATTCAAGAAAGCGGTCTGGCCGTATGCAGTGTTCGGCGTCGGCCGATTCTTTGGCCAGATCGTTGCCGTCTTCTGTGTGGACTCTGTGGGTCGCAAGAAGCTCCTACTTGGTGGCTTGCTCCTCGCCAGCGGAATGGCTTTTGGACTGGGCAGCCAATTCTCGTACGAGGGACTCCTTCTTTATCAATACAATAGCGTGGATGTTGTGCTCGCCTTGCTGATCGTGTTTCAAGCTTTTGCAGGCCTGGCATTCGCGCCCACATCTGCCTATCTGTCGGAGGGCTTTCCTTTGGGCATCAAGCAGCATTGCATCGGCTTTACTTTCATTATGGAGATGCTGGTTTATGTTATCATTTGTGTCTGTGACTGGAGCATATCTGGTACTCGGGCATACTTCTTCGTTGTTGGCGCCTTTTACTTCCTCAGCTTTGTAGCGGGAATTTGGAGCTTCCCTGAAACTAAGCTAACCCCATTGCGTGTGGCGCAGGACAAGTTCCGAAGTTTCTTCGCCCCGGGATTCCAGCCATAGTTGCAATTTAAGTTGAGTTGAAGTCCGATTTTAAATTAATAAAATGTTCAATGTAAATTATAATCTCACATTATGCTATTACCATACTGTTATGCATTTATTTTCTGCCTTAACAATTACTCGGAATCTAAGACTCAGCCTTTAGTCAATACCCTTGTTGTTAATTCAAAGCAATTATCTTCGTTAGCAAAGGGTTATTGACTCGATTGTAATACTTATCCATGTTATGTGTTATTCTTCTTTGTGGTTGGCTTCTTGTTGAGCTGTCACAATTGCTAGAATTCCTAGATAAGGTTATCCAGAAATAACTGTAACACTGGGGAATGAATCATTGGAGCCACTAGATTGATTAGAGCTTGATTTGAATGTGCTTCTTTGCATATCCAAATAGTTTGATGTTCTCTTTCGATTGTGGGGCTACTATTTTGAAACCTTCACTTTATTTTATTCTGTGAATTCTATGGTTAAAGTTTATTAAATATTGTACATAGCACTACTTAGTCAGACATAAGCTAATCCTATTTTTATATTCTTCCATTTCATTCGGAATATATACCCAACACTCTATTGGAAATTTCCATTTTAGATTGGTTTATGACTGTGCTAGTTTGGTTATCTAGTTGAGACATTAATTCTGACAGAATGTCCTGCCTCACATGCTCCATTGGATTCCAAATTGAGTTCACTGTGCCATCATCGTGATCATCATCAACATTCAAATGTGCTCTTAACCCATAGACTTGCTCTTTGCCCGCCTCTATGTATGCCCCCTAAATGGCAACCAAGACTTTAGCTTTAAATTAGCATTTTGCATAAATGTTAGGCATGTCATCATAAAGTATGACACAAGCACGCTTCCAAATACACGTATACGTACACACACCCCCCCTAACCCACTTTAGACATCAAATGGCCATAATGTGTGTAACACATGGCGTATGCGTAATGTAGACATGATGCTCATACTCGAAGGATGCTGCCACACAGGCACGAGTAATATTTCAACATTTTGATGCCTTAAATTTTGCACAAACATTTTGCAAGGCAAGGCTAGGCGAGACGAGGAGAGGGGGGAGATGCGCGGCACGGCATGCAATCCATTTGTGCAATCAGCCAGAGCTATCGCATAATCGCCGCTGCTTACCTTATAACTACGCCTATATACTATGTATGTATGTAGGCTAAACTCTGAGACTGACACTGGCAGCTGAAATTATCGGCAACAGAGGAAATTAATGTTCCTTTTCGGGGGCTGTCGCTGACGTCGTCTCACTGCGTGTGTAGTACATAGATTAATGATACTAAAAACGCAATTTTCCTATGACGAGCCGAGACATGCAAACGACACACACACACACACACATACACACTTCTAAATTTATATACAAATTTGTGGATACGGCTGATTAGCTGGCGAGCGAGCGAGCAGGCAGGCGGCAGGCAGGCAGGCAAGCAGGCAAGGAGCGTCATTAGCCATCAAGGAATTTCCATTATGAAATGCCAAAGCAGTCAAGCAGTCATGTTCATAAAAATAAAATGTTTGAGCAAATCGGCAACTACTTAGAGGCAGTCCCAGAGTCTAAGTCTATGCCTCTCCTTTTCCTGCATGTGTAGAAGTATGTGTGAGCAGCTGAATGCACAAATTATAATACAAAATTTAATGTAAAGCAAAATAACTTGAAATGCCTTATTTTTCAATGTTATAGAAAATGCTCGCTCGTACAGTCTCCCTGCCAGCAGCAGCAGCAACAACAATTTCTACATTTATACGCTGCAACTCGAAGAAAAGGATCTTATAATAAATTCCACTACAGGCAACGAGATGACGAGCATGATGAGCGCACGACGAAACTGAGGATGAGGACGAGTACGAGACGGGGGGGCGAGGGCAAGCTTTAGAACCGGCAGCTTGAGTCGAAGACGCACAGTTTTTGGCCAAATTGTTGTATGCAAATGTTGCTAGGGATGTCATATACATATGTAGGTATTGTAAGTATATAACTGTGTGTGTGTGTGTGTGAGTGTACGTATGTATTATATAATATGTGTTGTAGTTTCATTAGGATTACAGTTAGCTTGTTCGCTGCTGGCTGCGTGTTACGCTCACTTCCTTCCTTCCCTACTTCCTTCCACTTCACAACAGATTTTGATGGCTTCTATTGCTGGAATTGCTGTTGTTGCTGTTGTTGTTGCTGCTGTCGCTGGCGGCTGCCTGATTATTGAGTTATGACGCATGCGAATTGTAAGCAAAAGTATGAAAAAATAAAAATTTGCTGCTTATAAAATTCAGTAACTATGTTCTTATGTACATACTCGTGTGTATGTATGTCTGCCGAAATACAATCCTCACACACACACACACACACACACACATTTATAACAAAAGCTTTGGCTTTGGCAATAAGCATGGCATCTCAGCTAGAGGGGCAGGACGAGGCAAGCCAAGCCAAGCCAAGCCAAGCCAGTCAAGGCAAATCACAACGCTCGCTCACTAGCTAGTTGGCTTGTAAAAGGAAAAAAAAGTTAAAGCCTACCCCTATCCCCGACCCAGTTGGTTGCCATTGAAGTGAGTTGCAGCTGATCCATAAAAATATGTTGCATGCAAAATACTCGTACAACACAAAGGCTGAACTCGAGTGCTGCTGCTTACAACTAGTTGGTAGTGCTCGTAAAAAGTGGATAGAAAAGTAAGGAAAGTTCTGGCAGTGGCATAAGGCCATTCCGGCAATGTGTATAAAAAGTTTTGTACTATTACAACATAGTTGATGTTAACTCATCGGTACATTTAAATTGGACAATTGAAATACCCTAATAGTAAAGTAAAGTAGGAGCTATATTTATTTGCTAGCTGCTAGTGGTGAAGAGGTACTTAACCTTTGTCCTTCTCATTCTCATTTAGTCTTCTTGACCCAATTGGAAAATCATTTGTTCAACTTAATTTTCCAAATCAATTTTTGCATTTCTTCAATATCGAGGCACGAAAAGTGCAATTATGTAGTATGTTTCTTTTAAAAACAAATACGAATGCAATCGTTTTTTGTAATCGCACTCAAGCTGGCTTCTCCTAATAAGTCTTCTGTCATTAGGACTATCGATGGGGCTATATACCAATCATTGATGTAAAAATGTGTTCCCTTTCTCCCCCTTTCTCAAAATCATTTTTCTTGAAGGTAACAAAAGGTATGCTGCTTGTGCAAATGGTATAAGACGATTAGCTCAGAAACTCTGTGTTATAATATATTTTCAATGGGCATCATTTTAGTAGTTAAATAGTCTAGTCTTTGCTTGGATAAGTTTCTTCAAAAGTAAAAACACTTTTAGAAATTATTACAAGAACTAAAAAACTCGCCCTAAAAACATCTCTAGTTGATAAGAAAAGAAGCCCAAAAGTCTTCTGGCTATGTTTTTTCAAGCACATTCTTGGTATATTACATCCTTCAGATGTTCTGCTCTCTTGTTTACAGATTATGTTCCGCTATCCAAACTAAACATTTTCGTTGCACATTTCTAACCAAAAGCTGCGTTGTCTTTAATCTTAAGATTACTTTTTGTCTTTAGAAATATATGAAATTGGTGATATTATGATTACTAGTCGATTTTTATCCTATAATTCAAGCTTGAAATTGGAAGCAAGGAGGGCTGTACAATACCTGCCGTTTAAAGCAATTTGTTATAGGGCTGAGATCTTCACCTTTCGATTAACTCTATGCCGCTTTAGCTCAGTCATGGAAACTATATATGTAACTAAGTCGACTGTAAAATTTCCCGCATAACTTATTCAATTGCAGGGCCGGTTCATTTTGCATGCTATTTTTGGTTATCGAATTAAATCTGTATTTTGTTTAGCATTTTCCTATGCTTGAGCCCACAAATCCGATTTATTTTAGAAAACTTTGAACTAAATTTCCAAATTTGTATCATACTTTGATTTTCATCCACAACAGCCTCAAAAAAGTTATTTATTCGAGCATGACATCAAAAGTCAGCAAGCCTGTTAAAGCTTCAACTCTTTGCTGCTTGCTGCTTTCTGCTCGCTCTTTTATTATTCCTTTCATCCGTGATCGATTGAGCCCAGTGGCAGCATTTTTGTTGTTGCTGTTGCTGTTGTTGTTTGCTGCTGCATTTTACATTTTTACTTCGTTAACTCTATTTCCGTTGCAATGGACAAAATATTGACAGCTTAAATGCTGGAAGCAAAATAGCACTCTGTGCTTGAATTCTGTGTTTGTTCTGCTTTAAGTCTAGTTTACTCGAGTTAAATATTTGGCTTGGGCGAACACAAAAATAATAATAAAAAAAATATGCAAAATTCAATTTACGCCAAACAAAATCATAATCCATCTATCATTCATCAACAGCAGTAGCGGTAGCAACAGCAGTGGCAGAAGGAGTAGAAGAGGCTGATGGCTGAGGCCAGCAGCAGCTTCAACACTTGGCGCAAATGTCTGTGGCAAACGGAAGGAACTTCATAGATACGAAGCTGGCTAGCACACACACACACACATCCAGTGCTATCTATATTGAGTGTGTCGGTGTGTGTGTATCCGGTATACCACAGTTTTTCTTTATATTCCTTTTACATATTTTGTTACGCTTGTAAAGCTCAAATCCCCAGCGTATAAGCATTTCTACTTGAGTTCGCGTCGCGCTGCTCAGTTTAGCGAGCGCGCGAAACCAGCGGAGGTTCCTGAGACCCACAACCTCCCAGCCACCAGCCCCCAGCCCCACGTCCATGGCCTTTCTTTGTGCCTGTCTTCTGAGGCATACAGGCGCACCAAGTGACACTCTATTTGCTTTTGTTCCCAATGTGTGTGTGTACGAAACCCAAAAAATGACAAAATACGCGGCCTGGCAGTTGCCGATAAGCACATTTAATAGCAACTATTGATGGGTAATGAATTTCACAGCAAGTGCGTCTTAAAGCGTCCAACATAGCCGGAGATTGTGTTCCACAGACCTGAAGCTGCGCTTGCCAAATGTTGGGGCAGCAGCTCAGCATCAAGCCGCTATTCGTGTCTACGAAACTGTGGTGGGTTTCCACACACAAGCAGAAAAAACCGCAAAAAATATTCTCAGGGGTAGAAAT